CCACTACCACCACCACCACTACCACCACTACCACCACCACCACCACTGTGACTGACTCTGCCACCCTTCCTCCCTCCGCAGCTTCTGCCCAACTTTGACAGCGTCTACTCACAGAGTGTGGGTACACAGCCAGAGAACATCAGCAGGAACAGCAGCGTGCAAGCCATCGCCTGTGAGTGGCACACACACACACAGACACACACACACAGACACACAGTCACACACAGACACACACACACACAGACACACACCGCACACACACACAGACACACACACACAGCCAGAGAACATCAGCAGGAACAGCAGCGTGCAAGCCATCGCCTGTGAGTGGCACACACACACACAGACACACACACACAGACACACACACAGACACACACACGCACAGACACACACACACACAGACACACAGTCACACACACACAGACACACACACACACACAGACACACATACACACAGACACACACACAGACACACACACACACACAGACACACACACACACACAGACACACACACAGACACACACACACAGCCGGAGAACATCAGCAGGAACAGCAGCGTGCAAGCCATCGCCTGTGAGTGGCACACACACACACAGTCACACACACACACACAGACACACACACACACAGACACACAGTCACACACACACACACAGACACACACACACACAGACACACACACACACACAGACACACACACACACACAGCCGGAGAACATCAGCAGGAACAGCAGCGTGCAAGCCATCGCCTGTGAGTGACACACACACACAGACACACACACACACAGACACACACACACACACAGACACACACACACAGACACACACACACAGACACACACATACACACACAGACACACACAGACACACACACACCGCACACACACACAGACAGACACAGGCACACACACACACAGACACACACACAGACACCGCACACACAGACACACACACACAGACACACACACACACAGACACACACACAGACACACACATACACACACACAGTCACACACACACAGACACACACACACACAGACACACACCGCACACACAGACACACACACACAGCCGGAGAACATCAGCAGGAACAGCAGCGTGCAAGCCATCGCCTGTGAGTGGCACACACACAGACACAGACACACACACACCGCACACACACAGACAGACACAGGCACACACACACAGACACACACACAGACACCGCACACAGACACACAGTCACACACACACACAGACACACACACACATACACCCGGCACACACACACAGACACACACACACAGCCGGAGAACATCAGCAGGAACAGCAGCGTGCAAGCCATCGCCTGTGAGTGGCACACACACAGACACACACACACAGACACACACAGACACAGGCACACACACACAGACACACAGTCACACACACACAACAGACACACACACACAGACACACACTGCCACACACACACACACAGACACACACACACCACACACACACAGATACACACACACAGACACACACACACACAGACACACTCACTCACTCACCCACTCACTCACTCACCCACTCACTCACTCACCCACCCACTCACTCACTCACTTACTCACCCACTCACTCACTCACTCACCCACTCACTCACCCAATCACTAAGCCACTCACGCACTCACCCACTCACCCACCCAATCACCCACTCACTCATTCACTCATCCACTCACTCACTCACCCACCCACTCACTCACTCACCCACCCACTCACTCACCCACCCACTCACTCACTCACCCACTCAATCACTCACCCACTCACTCACCCACTCACTCACCCACTCACTCACTCTCCCACTCACTCACTGACTCACCCACTCACTCACTCACCCACTCACTAACTCACTCACTCACCCAATCACTCATTCACTCACCCACTCACTCACCCACCCACCCAATTACTCACTCACCCACTCACTCACCCAATCACTCACTCACTCACTCACCCACTCACACACTCACTCACTCACCCACTCACTCACTCACTCACCCACTCACTCACCCACCCACCCAATTACTCACTCACACACTCACTCACTCACTCACCCACTCACCCACTCACTCACTCACCCACTCACTCACTCACTCACCCACTCACCCACTCACTCACTCACTCACCCACTCACTCACCCACTCACTCACTCACTCACCCACTCACTCACTCACTCACCCACTCACCCACTCACTCACTCACTCACCACTCACTCACTCACTCACCCACTCACCCACTCACTCACTCACTCACCCACTCACTCACCCACTCACTCACTCACCCACTCACTCACTCACTCACCCACTCACCCACTCACTCACTCACCACTCACTCACTCACTCACCCACTCACCCACTCACTCACTCACTCACCCACTCACTCACCCACTCACTCACTCACCCACCCACTCACTCACCCACTCACTCACCCACTCACTCACCCAATCACTCACCCTACGCACTCGCTGATGACGACGCTGATGATGACGACGCTGATGATGACGACGCTGATGATGACGTTGCGGATGACGACGACGCTGATGATGACGACGCTGATGATGTAGTCGCTGATGATGACGAGGCTGATGATGATGACGTCGCTGATGACGTCACCGCCGCTGCTGCCCCGCCAGACAACGTGAACCGCGTGCAGCTGTCGAGAATCACGGCGGAGAGCTTCAACGCCGCCATCGGCGGCGGCGAGGAGGAGGAGGATGAGGAGGAGGAGGAGGAGGGCGTTGACGCCAGCGACGATGACGATGATGACGGCAGCGACGACGAGGAGGAGGAGGAGCAGGAGGACGGTGACGTCATCGCACCATCCTCCAGCTACATCAACGCCTCGCTCATAGACGTCAGTGATGGTGGTGGTGATGGTGGTGATGGTGGTGGTGATGGTGGTGATGGTGGTGATGATGATGGTGGTGGTGATGGTGGTGGTGATGGTGGTGGTGGTGGTGGTGATTGTGGTGGTGATTGTGGTGGTGATTGTGGTGATGGTGGTGGTGATGGTGGTGGTGGTGATGGTGATGGTGGTGATGGTGGTGATGGTGGTGGTGATGGTGGTGGTGGTGATGGTGGTGGTGGTGATGGTGGTGATGGGGGTGGTGATGGTGGTGATGATGGCGGTGATGGTGATGGTGGTGGTTGTGATGGTGGTGATGGTGGTGGTGATGGTGGTGATGGTGGTGGTTATGGTGGTGGTGGTGATAGTGGTGGTGGTGGTGGTGATGGTGTTGATGGTGATGATGGTGGTTGTGGTGATGGTGGTGATGGTGGTGGTGGTGATGGTGGTGATGGTGGTGATGGTGATGGTGGTGGTTGTGATGGTGGTGATGGTGGTGGTGATGGTGATGGTGGTGATGGTGGTGGTTATGGTGGTGGTGGTGGTGATGGTGGTGATGGTGGTGATGGTGATGGTGGTGATGGTGGTGGTGGTGGTGATGGTGTTGATGGTGATGATGGTGGTTGTGGTGATGGTGGTGATGGTGGTGGTGGTGATGGTGATGGTGGTGATGGTGATGGTGGTGATGGTGATGGTGGTGATGGTGGTGATGTTGCTGATGATGCTGAAGATGATGATGATGATGTTGCTGATTACGATGATGATGCTGCTGATGATGGTGATGTTGGTGCTGATGATGATGTTGCTAATGATGATGGTGATGTTGTTGATGATGATGTTGTTGATGATGATGTTGCTGATGATGATGTTGCTGATGATGATGGTGATGTTGTTGATGATGCTGCTGATGATGAAGATGTTGCTGATGATGATGTTGCTGATGATGATGGTGATGTTGTTGATGCTGCTGCTGCTGATGATGTTGCTGATGATGATGCTGCTGCTGATGATGTTGCTGATGTTGTTGATGATGATGTTGTTGATGATGATGTTGCTGATGATGATGGTGATGTTGTTGATGATGATGATGCTGATGATGATGCTGCTGATGATGATGATGATGTTGTTGATGATGATGGTGATGTTGTTGATGCTGCTGCTGATGATGATGATGATGCTGCTGATGATGATGCTGATGATGATGATGTTGCTGATGATGCTGGTGATGTTGCTGATGATGATGCTGCTGATGATGATGTTGCTGATGATGATGATGTTGCTGCTGATGATGTTGCTGATGATGATGTTGTTGCTGCTGATGATGATGATGTTGTTGATGCTGCTGCTGCTGATGATGATGCTGATGATGATGTTGCTGCTGATGATGATGATGTTGTTGATGCTGCTGCTGATGATGATGCTGATGATGATGTTGCTGCTGATGATGATGATGATGTTGTTGATGTTGCTGCTGATGATGATGATGTTGCTGATGATGATGATGTTGTTGATGCTGCTGCTGATGATGATGTTGATGATGATGTTGCTGCTGATGATGATGATGATGTTGTTGATGTTGCTGCTGATGGTGGTGATGTTGTTGCTGCAGGGCTATCAGGGTGTGGGAGTGTTCGTGGTCACTCAGAGCCCCACCGAGGGCGCCGTCTCGGACTTCTGGCATCTCGTGGTGCAGTTGGGAGTCACTCACATCGTGTCTCTGTCGAGAGTGAGACACACACACACAGACACACACACAGACACACACACACAGACACACACACAGACACACAGACACACACACAGACACACACACAGACACACACACACACAGACACACACACATACACACACACAGACACACACACAGTGACACACACACAGACATAGAGACATAGATACACACACAGACACAGACACACAGACACACACAGACATAGAGACACACACACACAGTGACACACACAGACACACACACACAGACACACACACAGTGACACACACATACACACACACACAGTGACACACACAGACACACACAGACACACACACACACAGACACACACACACACACAGACACACACACACACACAGACACACACAGACACACACACACAGACACACACACACAGACACACACACAGACACACACACACAGACACACACAGTGACACACACAGAGACACACACAGACACACACACACAGACACACACACACACACACAGACACACACACAGACACACACAGACACACACACACACAGAGACATAGATACACACACACACAGACACACACAGACACACACACACACAGACACACACATAGACACACACACACAGTGACACACACAGACACACACAGAGACATAGATACACACACACAGACACACACACATAGACACACACAGACACACACACACAGTGACACACACACATAGACACACACATACACAGTGACACACACACACAGTGACACACACACACAGTGACACACACACAGAGACACACACACAGTGACACACACACACAGACACACACAGACACACACACACACACACAGACACACACAGACACACACACACACAGAGACACACATACAACAACAACAACAACAACAACCGCCATTCGCCACTAAGTGGCGGTGACGTCACCACGACGCTTGTGCCAGGCTATGTGCACCCTGAGGCCACGTGAAGTGTCGAACGCCCGCTGGCAGGAGGTCACGGGGCAGACCCAGGTGCCACGGGTCGACTGACTGAGATGACTGGCTGATGCACCACCTGTGCCCCCTACTGTGCCAACCTGCTGTGCTTTAGCCACCCGGCGCTCCGCTCGCTGTTGTGAGCGTCGCTCCTCCGCCCTCCGTTGTTGTTGGAGGGCGACTGCCTCCAACTGCCCAGTAGCATCCTTCACGAGCCTCCTCCACAGAGGCCGATCTTGACACCGCTGGTACCAGTCATCGGCAAGTCCACTCAGCTCCACGTCCTCCTGTACCACATCACTCCATCTCTTCTCTAGCCCGTGCCGCGCCCGCTTAGCCCCCTCAATCCGGCCAAACAAAAGCTGTTTCGGCATGCGGTGGCTGGGCATGCGGGCTACATGACCCAGCCATCGCAGCCTTGCCTGCCGGAGGAGCTCACCGATGGGACCCTGCCCAGATCTTTCAAGGATTTGTGAGCTCCTCACACAATCCAGTCTGGTTAAACCCAGGATGGATCGTAGGCAGGTCAGCCTAAATGTTTCTAACCGGCGAAGATGTTCCACTAGGGGGGTCCACGTTTCGCAAGCGTAGAGAAGGGAGGGAATGACCGTGGCCGAGAAGACCTGAAGCTTAGTGCGGAGCGACAGACCAAGTAGCTTCCACACAGCGTTACGCAACCGATGAAAAGATATTGCCGCTCGACTGATTCGGAGTGAGACCTCTGCTGTTAAACTGGAGCCAGTCATAAGCACACTGCCCAGGTATGGGAAACTCTCCACTCTCTCCACAACTGCCCCATCACCGATTGGGAGTTGTGGGGGTGGAGTGTCCGATGGTACAAAATACCCAGGCAGGTGCTTAGTTTTGGTGGGGCTGATGGTAAGGCCCCACCTCTTAGTGGCACGCTCCAGTCTCAGCAGCAGCGTCTCCAACTCCTCCTCTGACTGAGCAGCTATTACCAAGTCATCAGCATGCATAACGTGGTTGAGCAATAGGGAGCCATCCCTTGACCGCACCCGGGCATCGATTAGCCTCCCATTATATCTGTACCATATGGAGATTCCCCCGGTACAGCTATTGAAGGCTTCACGAACTACGTGGTCAAAATAGATGTTAAATAATGTGGGAGCCAGAGGACATCCTTGTCGCACCCCAAGGTGTACAGGGAATGGCTCTGACTCCCGGCCACGTAGTTTTACCCGGGCCCGCTCACCATCATGAAGGTCCTTAATGATCGTGAGCAGAGGGTCAGGTACTCCAAAAGCACGAAGAACGACCCAGAGCCCAGGCCTACTGATGGTATCATAGGCCTTGACCAGGTCAATAAAGCAGAGATGTAGGTCTTGTTGGAATTCCCTACACCTCTGCTGTAGCAGACGGACAGAAAATATGGCATCTGTGCAGGACCGCCCTTTCCTGAAACCGCATTGGGGCTCCGCAAGCCTCTCCTCAGCGTGCCTGGCAAGGCGATGCTGAATAATCCTTGCCAGGACCTTTCCCGGCACACTGAGGAGTGAGATGCCCCTGTAGTTGTTACAGTCTGTGCGGTCCCCCTTCTTAAAAAGGGGGACCACCAGGGCATCCTTCCAATCCTGCGGAACCCGTCCAGTGGTCCAGACTGTTGTTATGATGTCATATAGGGCAGTCTGTGCACAAACGCCACCCTCCCTCAGCATTTCGCTTGGGAGATCATCTCTGCCCGCTGCCTTTCCTGGTCTCAGACTCCGTATCGCCTTCAATACTTCCTCAGCAGATGGCACCTCAGCCAGCCACTCACAGGGGGTGACTTCATCCAATATTTGAGGCACCGTAGCCTCAGCAGGGTCATCCTCACTTTGTGCCACGATGTTTTCCTGGCTGTGGGATTTTCCCTCCCCCAGGACCTCACAGAAATGCTCAGCAAATCTGCGAACCTGTTCCTGGGGGTCGGAAATTGGATCACCGTTTTTTCCCCTAATGATGGTAATAGGTGTGGCACTGCAGGTTACTTTTTTGATGGAGTTAAATAGCGATTTGTGATCACGGGCCACTGAGGCAGACTCCATCTCCTCAGCAACCCGCGACCACCACCCATCCTTGCAGCGCCTCACGGCTCTCCGAACCTCCGAGCGAAGGCTGCGGTAAGCCTCCTCATTCTCTGACGTGGGATTCTGTAGCCGATGACAGTGGGCCTGTCGCTTTTTCTCAACCATCCTGAACAACTCCTCTGTCATCCAGGGTGTCTGGGGAGGTCTGGACCGCGTACCCAAAGCAGCCATTGCAGCTGCATGAGTCACAGTCCTAAACCTCGCCCATTTACCCTCGACATCAGGAGGAGTCGGGGACGATGCCAATCCCAGCCGCAAGCGATGATGAAATTCTCGCTTGCAACTTTCATCAGATAACTGAGACCAGGCCACTTTAGGTTGGAATGGGGTCCTGGGTGTACACCCACCACCGGAGTGGAAGAATGGCAGGCGCATCTTACAGATGACTAGTCGATGGTCAGAGGGCAGATCAGCTCCACGGTAGGTCCTGGTGTCAAGGACACACACATACACAGTGACACACACACACAGTGACACACACACACAGTGACACACACACAGAGACACACACACAGTGACACACACACACAGACACACACAGACACACACACACACACAGACACACACAGACACACACACACACAGAGACACACATACACACACAGACTCACACACACAGACACACACACAGTGACACACACACAGACACACACAGTGACACACACACAGACACACACACATAGACACACACAGACACACACACACAGACACACACACAGACACATAGACACACACACAGAGACACACACACACAGACGCACACACAGTGACACACACAGTGACACACACAGACACACACATAGACACACACACAGTGACACACACACATACAGACACACACACACACACAGACGCACACACAGTGACACACACAGTGACACACACAGTG